GACATGAGCTTTAATAGCCAGCACATTACGGCCTTGTACTTATCCCAGTTTTCATGAGCATATTTGAGAATAAGTCTTGTTCTCATAGAAAACGACCCCACTTTCTTGCTCACATAGGTGAAATCTGTCAAGAATGTTCTTATAATTGACACACCCCACTCAACAAGAGCTACAGAATTTCACTAAGAATATAAAAACTCAACCCTCTAACATTATAGGACAAATGCACTTACATCATAGGGATGGATAACAAAATATTACAGAGTGCATTTTTACAACCACTATATAATTCATTCTTCCCATTAAGCCTAGTTATAGGATCTCTGGTCCCTAAGTTGCGTATCCTCATACATGGTTTATGATTTTATAGGCTTCAAACCCATCCCCCTCGATGTATTCCAAACCCTATCTCTCGCTAAGGCCTTGGTTAACGGCTCCACAAGATTATCACAAGATCTTACATAATTCACAATTATGATGCCATTACTTAAATAAGATCTCACATTACTTTTTTTCCTTCGAATAGGTCTGGATTTACTATTATAAAAATGGTTATTCACTCTACCAATAGCAGCAATGCTATCACACCGAATTAACACAAGAGGAATTGATTTTTACCAAAAAGGGATTTCATGTAACAAATCTCTCAACCAATTCGCTTCCTCACATGCTGAAGCTAACGCTATAAGCTCAGCTTCCACTGTAGAATTAGCAATTATAGTCTGTTTTTTAGACTTCCAACATATAGCACCACTACCCAAGGTAAAAATAAAATCCGAGGTAGAGAGAGAATCACCTGACAAAGTGTTCCAATCAGCATCACTATATCCCTCAGGTACCGCAGGATACTTGTTATAAAACAAATCATAATTTTTGGCACCAGATAAATATCTCATAATTCTTCCCATGGCTAGCCAATGATCTTGACTTGGCTTGCTAGTAAACCTGCTAAGTACTCCAACAGCAAATGCAATCTCAGGTCTAGTACAGTCAGTAGCATATCTCAAACTACCAATCATGCTAGAATATTCATTTTGATTAATCACTTCTTTTTCATTTGTTACAACAGATAAATGTATACTTGCATCAAAAGGAATAGCAACATGTTTATAGTCTAGAAAGTCATATTTGTTTAACATTTTCTCAACACAATGCGACTGATCAAGAAAAATGCTATCCTTAGTCTTGGTAATTTTAATTTCCAAAATAAAATTGGCTTTACCAAGATCTTTCATATCAAAGTGACTATTAAGCATATTTTTAGTCTCATTTATAATATGCAAATTAGAGCCAAAGATAAGTAGACCATCTACATATAAGCTAATAATCACGTGTGCATTCACACAAGTTTTATAATATATGCACTTATCACATTCATTAGTCTTATAGCCATTCTCAAGCATGCAAGAAATAAATTTCTCATGCCACTGTTTAGGAACTTGTTTTAAACCGTAAAGGCATTTAGTTAGCTTACACACCTTGCTTTCTTGGCCAGGCTCCACAAAGCCTTTGGGTTGGTCCACGTAAATCTCCTCATCTAGATCTCCATTTAAAAATGTTATTTTCACATCCATTTGATGAATTTTTAAATCATGAATTGCACGCACTGCTATCAACAGTCTAATGGATGTAATTCTAGTAACCAGAAAAAAAGTATCAAAGAAATCAAGATCAACTTGTTGCTTAAAACCTTTAGCGACAAGCCTCGCTTTATATTTATCTATAGTTCCATCCGGTTTAAGTTTTTTACGAAGGACCCATTTACACCCAATAGTTTTACAACCTTGAGGTAAATCCACTAGCTTCCATGTTTTATTTGAAAATAGTGAATCTATCTGATCATTTACAACCTCTTTCCAAAAAATAGCATCAGGTGATAATAAAGCTTCTTGCACCGTAAGAGGAATTTCTTCCACATTGTAAGGATAATAGTCAAGGCCAAAATCTTTTTTAACTCTAGCTCGTTTACTCCTCCTTGGTTAGATTTGAGAATTTTCTTGTTCTTGAAAAACTTGAGAAGGAGTAGAAGAGCTAGGCACGAATAAAATATTTTCAGAAATTATTTGATCCCCCACTATTTCTAGATTTGAAAGGAAATTTATTTTCATAAAAAATAGCATCACTTGATTCAAAAATAATATTATTTTCCATGTCAAAAAATTTATAAACTGTACTATGGAACGCGTATCCAAGAAAAGCACAGGTAGTAGCTCGTTCACCTAATTTAGGTCGTTTAGGATCTACAAGTCTCACAAAAGTTAAACAACCGCAAACCCTCAAATAACCTAGATTTGGTTTATGCCCCCGCCATAACTCATAAGGTACAATTTTAGTCTTTTTGTGTGGCACTCTATTTATCACATGGCAAGCTGTCAAAATAGCTTTGCCCCAAAGATTTGAGGGAGCACTTGAATCGATAAGTATAACATTCGTTAAATCAATTAACGTTCTATTTTTTCTTTCAGTTACGCCATTAGATGAAGGTGAATATGGTGGAGTAGTCTCATGAATAATTCCCAATGACTAAACAAAAGAGTTGAATCCAAGAGATTCATACTCCCGGCCTCTATCACTTCTAATTCTCTTAATCTTTTTACCGAATTGATTTTCCACTTCAAGAAGGAATTCTTTAAATTTTTCAAAAGCATCACTTTTATTTTTTTAATAAATATACGTTTGTGTATTTTGAAAAATTATCAATAAAAGTGATAAAATATTGGTTATCACCCCGAGTTAAAATTCCTTCAAACTCACACAAATCAGTATGAAATAATTCTAGCAATTCGGTATTTTTTTTCAACACTTTTATGAGGCCTCTTGGTAATTTTTGCTTTACTGCAAATTTCACATTTCTCAAATTTTTTTTGTCACTTTAGGATTTAATCATAAACTACTCATGATTCCCATATATTTACTATTAATATGACACAAGCGAGCATACCAAAAATTAATAGAAAACAAAGTGTAAGTGGTGTCATAATAATCATAAAATTAATCAGCAAGGCAATTTAAGAGATAGAAACGACATTTATACTCATTTGTATTATATAAAGCCACTTTTGCTTCATGTGCCTCGTAGTCTTCATCATTCATCTCCTCGGTTGAGATTTTGTTTGGGTTCTTCTCAGTAAGAACATATACAACTTTCAAAAGGATAAGGTGAAAAAGAACTTTTCATTTCCATCTCTTAAAATGAACTTCTTTGAACTTGAAAGGCTTGTTGAGATCTCCAATTCTATCATTGGTTTTTTCTGGTACTTGATCCATGTTTGATCTCCTTAAAATTGTTGGTAAAAATACCAGAAAAAATTATATTTTATTAATAAATAATGCAAAGAAAATGAGATACAAATAGATCAGGCTGAGGTACGGATATCTCGTTTTCTTTAAGGAGATCAAGCCCACTACGGTAGGAAGAACCCAAATACCGATACAGCAGTCACAAAATTATGACTTGTCCCCTCCAGGATACAATAGCCCGACCACTTGTCGTATGGTTTAAGCCAACTCTGCACAAGATGGTGAAACCACAAGATGGTGAAACCAAAGCTCCACTAGGAAAAACACCCTTCTTTACTAGTAATCTCTTTTGTATAGAAAATAGTTGATGTGTTGGTGTAGAAAAGAGTAGAAGATAAGAACTATTTATAGGCCACTAGGATATTATAAAATACATTAAAAAATAATAATGAACATAAACCTAGAGAAAATGGAGAGTGTATCCAAATATGAATTCACTACCAAGTTCATGAATTCTAATTAATCTCCATTCATGAACAAGATAAGATTCATGAACAAGATAAAAGGAAGATTCATGAACAAAATATATAAATAAATAAATAAAAAGTTATTAAAATGGTCCAACACTTTCCATTATTAAATTCTACCTGACATATTATTATTGAGTAATGATATACAAATATAAATTTTATATAAAATTTTCAAACACATGGATATAATTTGATAGTGATATTTCACTTTAAAACAAAACACCCACAAACATGAGTTATATTTACAATAATATCATTATCATAACATTTTTATGATATTTTTTATATATGAATATAATTTTTTTTTTTATTTTCACTATTATTTTTATTTCTCGTCTATTCATTTACATTTATTACAATATTATCAAATACCGCAAACCACTAAATCAAACTTAAAAGCATCAAAATACAATGCATATATATACGCTTATACAAAAATGACATCAACAAAAATATATTCCACACCTTTATAGAGTTTTCATAAATAACTTTCTGAGTTTTTAATTATATTTTTATATTTTTTTAAAAAATTTGTTGCAACCCTCGTGGATTCTTTGGGACTCCACACCCTCGTGGATTCTTATATTTGTTGCAACCATGGACCATTGTGGTGAAGGACAACGTTAAAAAACACTTTGGGACTTGGGAACAACTCTTGTTGCAGACAATACCATTCAATTAATGCACGAATTAAAGTTGTTAATATTGCTATAGACCATTCAATTCAATTAATACACAAATCAAAATTGTCCTTCGGGTGATATTACATATATTAATTAGTATACTAATTAATATATATTATTATTAATCTCACCGATTATATAAATTATAAATTTTTAAAATTTTTAAAATTATAATACATTATCTGTTAGTATATTAATTAATATATTAATTAGTACATATAGCATTATTATTCTTAATTTTAAAAACACTAACAACAAAATCTTAATAGTAAAAGTGTAGCTTTAAACTCTTCCGAATATTTTTCTGTGATTTAGAGTTATTTTGACAATAATTTAAAATAATTAAAAAATCACTATAAAAAACACACTTATTTTGATAATAATTTTATTGGAGTAGAACATTCTAGTCTGCGAAAGCAACCTTAAACTTGTTGACCCAAATCGAACTTGTAAAAAAACACCGAAATAGTAAAGAAAACAAGAGGCTGAGCACCCAGTTTTGTTAAGAAGTCAAAATTTGAATATTTACAGCCCACTGGAAATGTTTTCCGCCCCATCATCGTCGTCGTCATCATCATCATCTTCATCATCGTTCTCTACGCGGTAAGAACATACCAAAGCCACCACTGCCAGACTCTGTATATATACCATTCCATTTCATGATCAAATAGTATAGTCTATACATACATACATATATTCACTTTAAATATATTTGGTGCACATCTGTATTGCTTGTTGGATCAAATTCTCAGAGCTGAAAAAAGGGTGACAGTTTTCGGAATGGGCCGTTGGATCAGACCAGAGGTAACCAAAAAAACATCATCGTTTATAATTTTCTATTCAACATAGAAACCTTTTCTTTCTTTTTTATTTTTGTTTAATTAGAATATAGTTATTCTGCTTAATTTTTGCAGAATCGTTGGCTAAGCATCCAATCAAAATAGTACATAAATTTTAAAATGCAAAAAAAAAAAAAAAAAAAAAAAAAAAAAAAAAAAAAAAAAAATCTTCCTTCACTTTCCTTGGTTAAATCAAAATCCAATCTTCTTCAAACTCTATCTCATTTTTTCATAAACAACATGTTGACTCGGTCAACTTGAACGGTGTACATAATGAATCTAATACATAAAATATTTTCTTTTTGTTAGGAGGATATATCACGTATACCTTTTAAGTTTAAAATTAATTGTAAATTCACAAACTCAAATTAGATCATGGCTTAAAATTCATAATCACAAATTGCTCAAAGTCTATTAGCATGATTGCCCGAGTAATGATATTCATACTCTTTATTTTGTCTTCTTTTTGTCCAATGACATTTTATTTGGGTCCAATCCCATCCAAGCCCAAAATATTATATTTCCCTCTTTTTTCTTTTCCTTTTTCTTTTCTTTTTCAAATTTTTTTTTTTTTTTTTTTTTTTTTTTTTTTTGTGGGTTTCAAAAGAGAGCAACAATCTCAGCAAATGAAGGTGTAATCAATTTTCAATAAAATCCACATAAAAGGTCAAGGCCCCATTTGCTTCTAGAGTTGGAGGATGGAATTGAGACTAGTAGTGAGGTGGGATTCAAAAAAATTATGTTTGTTTTGGAAAGTGGCCATAGAATTAAGAGTCTCATGAAACTATGAAAAGCCGTAGATGAAGGGACTAGTAGTGGCCTAGGAGATTTGGTATTCAAAAATAAATCTCTTGGGACAATGGGTTAATTGACTATTCTGCTTTTGTGTTTATTGCTAAATTTGTTATAATACTTGGAATGACGCCCATAATATGGCTCATGTAATATTAAATACAAATAATTGAGTAAAATTTTATTAATAGTTAGATTCTTGAATATTTGCAAAAAATAAAAAATAAAAATTTATTGATAGTTAGATTCATTAATATTAAAGAAAAAAAAAATAACATTGAGTAAAAAAAATTTGATAGTTAGATTCTTTAATATTTAAAAAATATAAATAAATAAAAAAAAGAATAATAATACCATTGAGTAAAAATTTAGGGTGATGATTGAGACCTCCTCCAATCACCACTCCCACCATCTCCACACACACATAGCGGGTGGTGATTGGAGGAGAAGGAAAAAAAGAAAAAGAAAAAAAAAAAAAAAAAAAAAAAAAAAAAAAGTAGCCAATCAGGTGAAGAGGGGGTCAAGGGGGTGGGGGAAAAAAATGGGATCCAAGTCATTATTGAAAAATTAATTTATTCTTTAGTTGGTACAAGCCTAAATTTGATAATAATGCAATGGGTATTTGTGAAATCTTACATGGTTAATCTCAATCATATCTCTCAAAACAAACATGAACTATTACTAGTCTACTGATTATCAAACAAACATAATTTTTTTTAATCCCCTCACTAGTAGTTCGCTTGCTAACAGTCTCCTCCATTCTACTTCTGAAAATAAATGTCCAAGCTAATAAGTTTTTGTAACTAACTAACCAATGTGGGGGACAAAGCAAAAAGAGAAGCTTCTTGTTTTGGAATATTTTACATACTTCCAACTATATATGTGGTCTAATTCTTTACGATATTGTCAAAACAAAACAGGTGTATCCTCTAATGGCAGCAATGACCTTTGTAACCAGCATGTGTGTTTTTCAGCTAACAAGGAACATGCTCACGAACCCTGATGTCAGGTATACATATATATGTCGTCCAAAATATTAAAATTCACCTTTAATAAGTCGTTGGTCTTATATAATTGATAAGAGGTATGCTCATTGGGGCCGGCATTTGCAGAATCAACAAAGCACACAGGAAGACGGCAGTGCTTGAAAATGAAGAGGAAGGAGAGAGATACGCCCAACATGGCCTCCGCAATTTCCTCCGCACTCGCCCTCCCGAGGTCATGCCTTCCATCAACCACTTCTTCTCCTCCTCCGACACCACCAAATAGATCTAAAAATATAAATACAGTACATGATTTGAAGGAAACTTATATATGTATATTTGGTCCACAATATTCATCAAGTTCTGCTCTGTACTATTAAGTACTGCTTGTGTGTTGTTTTAAAACTGTGTGACTCGTCCATGTTAATTACAATAAAAATTAGCTTATGCTCTCCTTTTGTTCATGTCAAGATCCAAAACATATATGAATCAATAGTTGTTTGCAACTCTTATTATGATTTGTTGAAAGGAGCTGAGCTTTTCTAGAATAGTTTATTTTGTATGGCCTCATCCATGCGGATCAGATCATACGATCATTGTGGTGTATGCCTCATGCGTGTTTGTGCGTTCAACATTTTGACATCAAAGGAAATGGAGACTCTGTGAATCTTTGGCGGCTTAGCATCAAAGATTTTTTGGTGTAAATTAAATTCAAAGAAAAGAGCCAAAGAACTCTGAGAAAGGATTTCCTAGTCACGGGGGCATAAATTCTGAAACATATCTCAACTAATAAAAACAACTAAAAAAGACAAAATGCAGCATCTGCAGATGCACCATTAAAAATTGTAATATGAAGATTGCAACATCAGCCGTGCAATGAAATTTTTGTTTTTATTTTTTTATTTTTGAACATCAACATAGTGGCAAACAATTGGGGCATTACAACTAGTATTAAAGATGCCTTGTGTCCTTTTTTTTTTTTTTTCAAAATAAAAAACCTATTGAACACAACAGGTGAATACCGAATATGTGGGCTGCGCAAGGCCCAAAACCATTTTGTCAATTTTCTCAAAAGCTAAACATGTCTAATTTGCAATTTGTAACTACTAATTAGGTTTTATTGCGAACCACATCCAACTTTTATAACATCATTGTAATTACTTTATATTTTTTTTGTTTGGAGGGGTGGAGGGGGGAATCAATGAGTAAAAAAATATTTATAAATATCAAAATAATCATATTAAATTGGATAATCAATTATATAAAAAAATCCAACAAAATAAACCGCAAATCCAAAGCGAACAATCACTGTAAGAAAGAGTTGATGATAAAGAAGAAATATACTACTAAACAAATACCTTTTAATAAAGACCAAATAATTAATATTTGTCAATGACATTGATTGACCCTTTTAAAAAAATCAACATAGATGTACTTCATTTTACACTGGCAATCATGAATAGAGTAGGGATAATCAAGGAATGAAGGGTGACCGGTGAAGCTTCTTACCTAGGATGAGTTGCAAGGGCTAAAGACTAATATATTTGTTAGCAAAAATTTGATTTGGATTAAATCGATAAAAGAGATTTCATAAAAAAAATTAATTTTCACAAACAAACAATATGATTAAGTGATTGTGATTGGTGTCCTATATCTTAACAGATGTAAGGATTTCTTTGGCGGTTATCGTCGGAGAGAAACAAACTAGAAATTAATATTATATTACTAAAATTATTACTTGTTACAAAAATTTGAACAAGAACAAAAATAAAAATACAAAATAACCAAAACAAAATGTTTACTTATTACAAAAATTAAAAAACCACAAAACCACTAAATTAAAATTACTCCTAGAGAAAATAAACTATTCCTATGATATGTTAAAGTAATCAACAATGGTAGAGGGCCCTAATTTTTGTGGCTCAAATGGCTCGAATTTGCCAAAACGACGTCGTTTTGAGTATAAAACAACATCAAAATTGCCAAAACGACGTCGTTTTGGTAAATTTGAGCCATTTGAGCCACAGAAATTAGGGCCCTCAAACATTTTTCTAAAGCAATCTACTCCTAGAGAATCTATTCTAAACTCATGGTGAGTAAGGGTGCGCGTGGATTGATTTTTGACAGTTTGGTTTATGGTTTGGACCCATCCACATATCTGCGATTTGGAAAAAAATTGAACCCGCAACCGCCCGTGATGCAGATTGCAATTTGTGCGGATAGGGTTCGTGAACATGAGGGCGATTGCAAGCAGTTTGCGGATTAAGTTTTTTTTAAAAAAAATTATTTTTTGGCTTGTTTTTTTTTCTATTTTTTAAATATTTTTTATTGCGGGAGATTCAACACCATCCTCCATTAAAACTCGATTACAAAAAATTAGAATGAAAATTAAATAAAAACTAACATAGAAAAAAAAAATCACATAACTAGATTTGTAAAAAATTAAAAAAAGAATCAATTGAATAATAAGTATTTCAAACAAGGTCGTGTGTAATATTATTATAATGTTAGAACCTACAGATTTGATAATCAGATTAAAGTGAGTGAGAGAATAGAAGATTAGGTTTACACACTTACAAAACTTATAAGAAAATCTGATGGTCCAAATTTAAAAATAAAAATAAAAAAATTGTATATAGATACGACAGGTGAATGCGGGTGCAAATAAAACCCACGACTCGTCCGCAATCCGCAAAATAGGAAAATCTTAAACCGCATTCAACTCTAACAATTTTGCAAAACTGTCCAAATAAACGTGAGCGGTTTGGATTAGACGATTTTTATGGATCAAATAACCCTATACTCAACCCTAAGGGTGAGTGATGATGATTGATCCCCTCTGTTCGTCCTCTTCTGGTCAATTTATAGGCTTTGAACTTCAAGCAACTGCACCAGGCAGTTCTCTAATCCATATGCATAGTTAATTGAAGTTACAATTCCCTCATCTATGCCACATGTTGCACCACACACTAGCCCACTTGACACTATTTGCAAAGTCGTTGCTATGTATCTTTCATTAATTTCCACGCCACTTTCTTGTGCAACTTCCATTAATCACAATTTTTTTATGCACATTGGGAATGTTTGTTTGGATTTTTTTAGTCAATTTATAACTTTTGACTTTTGAAAAGTTATTTTAGATTGTTTGAAATTTATTTTAAACAGCTTATGATTCTAGCAACTGATTTTAAGTCAAAAAACTAATTCTGAAAAGTTACTCACCCATTGCTTCTGATTGTCAGTTTCTGTTGTGGACATGTTAATTTATCGTTATACTCTCAGATTTTTTTATTTTATATTTTTTAAAAAATAAAAAATGACCCAAATGGACTATAGAATATTATTATTATTTTTTATAAGAAATGTAGACAAGTAGTGAATAATAAAAAAATAAAAAAGCTACTTCACAGTTTATTTAACAAACACTACTTAGCAACTTAAATCTATAATTCAATAGGTACACCAAACAGATTAATAGCTTCTGATTAAAGTCACAATTTATAATCTATTTTAATAGGTATACCAAACGGGCCATTACCATTTTTCCTTTTGTAATTGCATGACCCACCGGATGGTTGAATGATACTTTCCTACACAAAAATAATAATAACAATAATAATAATAAATAAAAAACATGGCCATGGTAAATCTTTAAAAATAGTTATGATGTGATTCAATAGATTAAAATCGACCGGTTACAATCAATAAAATTAAATTTGACTATAATTAATAAGTCGCAATCAATTAAATGAGATTTGGCCATAATTAACAAGCCATAATCAACAAAAAATTATTTTTTTAATATCAACAATACCAAAAATTAGAACAATACTAAGGATTTCAACAATATTATCAAAAATTTAGCATAATATTCACGTAGCATAAAATTCAAAATTATGTAAATATTATGTAAAATTTTTAATAATTTATTTAAAGCCTTTAAAATTATTTATTTTTTTGGTAAAAATTATTCAAAGTCACCGGTAATAATGCTACAAACTCATCATACCATTCATTTCTCAGTACCATTGATTTCATGTGATCACAACATTGGCATTACAGATCAATGGTCCAAATCATTCTAGTAACAATCAAAGATACGACCGAATGGGATCCAGATGTGGCAGTCTCATAGTAACCTGTTGAGCCAGGACATCGGACTCGGACTCTCAGCCCAGTCCAAAAGAAATAGAAGATGCTTCAGAATATTACACTTTGTGCCTCTTTCCAATCCAATCCAAGTCAATCAATCCACTTCAAAGCCCAAATTGACAAGGTGGCCCCCCAGATTCCCACACCAACAAAAAATTATCACAAATTTATTCACTACTTTTTCTTTTTTAGCGATATTTAACTATTAAGGCCTCGTTTGGAAACAGGCTAATTTAGTAATTTTTTAATTATTTAGCTAAAAAGGTAGGTAAAAAAAACTTGTATGTTTGTGATGATTTTTTGGCTAATTACGAAAAGATGTGCAAAAAGTAGAGAGAAAAGAGAATCTTTGACTTTTTTGTATGAGTTGTTGGCTTTTTTACTAATTTAATAACTTTTTGACTAATTAGCTAAAAAAGTAAGTCCCCAAACGGGGCCTAAGCCCTCTTATTAGTTCGGCATACTATCAACATAAAATTCTCAAAAGACAATTACTCCACGTTGACTATTTCTTCGTAGCCTCTCTTAATATTTGTAATATATATAAGTTAAAAATATTTAACACTTAATTGCTAGAAACTCACAATAATATGATAATAAAGTTAGATTTTATATATAATGTACGAGGAGCAAATATTCCGGCGTGCCCGTATTCCTTTCTTCCGAGCTCCGTCGGTATCCGATCACCTGCGAGCAAATAACGGTGAGCTACCCGGCGGTGTGTGGCCGGAAAAACCCTCCGACGGTCAAGTTAGCACACACCTTAGAGGGAATAGAGAGAAGGGAGAGAGTGTTTTTTGTGTAAGAATTTCTTACAGGGATGTTCGTGTATCGCGTATGGGGGGCGCAGACATGCTTATATACCTTCTGAGCCCCATATCCACTCCCAGTCATCTCCTGACACGTGGCTCTACTATCCCATCTGTCAGCATAGACCATGCCATTTATCACCTAACCTCAACTGCCCGTCATCACAGCTGGAGCTCGGCAGCCGAGCTGCCCTATCCGTAGTCATGCCATGCCGTGCTCCATACCCTAGCACTTTCCTGGCAAAGTATATAAGGGGGGCCGGGCTAGGGGGCATCTCGGCAAAGCCTAGCCCGAAGCACCCCGTGACCAGCTTTCCTGCTGGTCAAACGGTAACCTCGGTCGACCGTGCCTTTCCGGGCACCGGACACTCGGCTTGTCTGGCTTCGGCTATCCTCGGACCGAGCAACCAGGTCCGACCGAGCACTGCCTTGCCGAGCTGCTTCTTTACGGTCCGGGGCGGGACGCGCTCGGCCCAAGTTCTGCCCGGCCCAAGCTCTGACAG